ATAAAGTTATAATAAGCTGAAATATTTTACCAGTTACAGCGGACAGCGGTGGTTCTCAGCCGGTGTACCGCGATAAATGTCTGATTTTTGTAATTATGCCGGTAAAAAATATTAAAACAGTATACWTTATTTCATTAAATATGCAATCAAGTCATCTGTTGCTTTCGGGTAGGGTATAATTTTTTAAAGAATTTGATGGTGGTTAAATTAAATGAATATCGGTGAAGAAGAGCGGAAAATTTACACTTATTGACCTAAATGAGTCTTAATCGTAATAAAATTATTATAGTAGTAAAATTTAAATGCGGTATACACAACATACACTACACGTGTACAAATTATATATTTAATTTTATATGCCATCAGTACTAAAAGTTTCATAAAAGTTTTGGCTGCAGACTTGGCCATGAAGTAGGTTAAAATTAAAAACTGGATGTACTCTCTGAAACACCCSAATTGGTTGGGTTAAATGCATGTATTCTTATTAGTTTGTTGTAATAACATCACAAGTTCGTACTACACGTCGGAATGCTGAATTAATCAAAACTCACATGTACCGCACTAGGGGATAGATAGTTGATGCATAGACTGAAAAATATATTAAGTATAAAATGTTGTTCATAGTTTATTACTTCTTATAATCATGTAAATAAATCCGAACGCTTTCTCAATGCCATTAAAAATGAATGCGTGAGGCTCGTTAAATATATTATATACTATTTAAAATATTACCACCAAATGCCAATAATTTTGTGTTAGTATATTATATATATTGGCTATTAAACTGGGTAAAACACCCCTTCTAATAGCACTCCACAAATGCCGATCTGAAAACGCCAATCGTTGTACAATTGCACAATAATTTTAAATTCTCTACTATTATAGTCCTATACTGAAAWTCACTAAATATTATTATTACAACAGTGCGATCTAAATATTATTTTTATTCTACAGTGAACACTGGATATAGATGAAAAGTATTATTTTAAACATCAAAACACTAAAAAACACGTACGAGAATCTGGAAGTATCGGGTCTTTAATATAATAATATTATTTTTCAAAATTCACTTTTATGTAGGTACGTAACTTAAATGTTTTTATTATGATGTTGCTATATTTATACGCCATATTGGTATTGTTACAAATTAACCCAAAGTGATARATTACTATGAGAAAAAATATTTAGTAATTGAACTTGGGCTAATGTATAAAAAAAGTATGTATTTGATATTTTATCTGYTGCACRAAAAAGTTGAATCGTATATATTTCTGGTGGTCGCTTTTCTAATACAACATACTTGGCGCCAAATTAAAATAAAAATATTTCAGAAATTCAGTCCATAGCGTAGTGATGACTAAATGGTTTACAAAATACTATTTATTTATTTGTTAATCTTTAGTTGCTATTGTCACTCAAAAACAATCAGAAAAATTCAGTTGAAAAACAAATTGTTTCCAACCGAATATCATATAGGTATATGTTAGGTTAGGTTAGGTTAGTGGAAGTAATGCGAAAGCAGTTCCCGCTCCGGTCTTCGATACCACGAAAAAAACAAAAAGGTTAGGTTAGGCTAAATGATTACACTTGTATATATCGTTACAGGACATTGCATTGTTTAATTTAGGGAGAGCAATGGAACATGGGTGGATCACCCGACGCCTACCCTCTGGTAATAGAGTTTTGTTTATTTTTATGGATTTTAATAAATGTAGGTATCTATAAATTTTAGTATATAGATACATCATACATAATATGCTCAAAATATAGTTTTTCACATTTGTAATGATTTTTCAATGCATTCAAATTTAACACAATATCCATTACTGTGGTTTACTCAATGAAGAGGCCCACTTGACACCTATACTGTATATTCGTAAGGGCGTTCAGCGAGCAGCAGTTATCTACTTCCTTCCATTTTAATTTCATATTAATTAATTGTCTAATAGACAATAGTTAAGTAGTATTGATCGTTTTTTTAATTTTATTTTATAAGACATTCCTAGCCAACAGTAGGCTATCTATATCTAGAGATAGTATTTACAATTYTTATTTTTGACTTTCATAAAAAGATTTAAACTCCATTCAGCGAAATCACTGTGACTGGTGTTTTTATCTTGTATATTGTTATTATATTACTATTTTAGCACCTAAGCAACTTTACTATATGAACTATGAAAATCTCTTGTCCACTGCTGCTTGAGTGRTGTTCTTGCAGGATTTCATTTTGGTAGTAATAAGTGACAATATAGATTTCTTATAGGTGGGTTATGTAAGCGGCTGTGAAATACTGAAATTCAAATTATTAATTACTTAATTACTTATCAATATTTATATGTTGGTAATTGGTGTACCTACAATTGAATTGATATTGTTATCTATTATAATCTAATATGCATCATCGATTTGTGATGAAATAATATCCGTCCAGTCAGCAGTCAGTAGTATTTTTGTACCATAATACGACCATGTGGTGTAATATATTATTTATGAAGATGTGGTTTTATTATAAGTCATGTTTGGCTAGCACAGGAGATTCAGTTTTTTTTTGTATTCCTTCTACGAAAAATTCTATATTAGAAATTAGAAATAAGAATATAAATGTGGTCTGTTAGTCTAAAAAAAAGTCACRGGGACACTCGCCCACCAAAATTACGTCACTGACCTTATTTACTTGTAAATTTTTGCGTTACAAAATATTTTTGTATTTTCAAATTAGTTTATATAAGAGTCTTGTGATATTTATTATGAATATTTACAGGATATTTTAAAATTTATCGAGGAATCATCAAATGGAGTTATTTTTTTTACATTTGGTACTGTAGTCGCATTGTCAACATTACCAGCCCATATTCAAATTGCTTTCAAAAAYGCATTAGCAGAAGTTCCTCAAAGAGTGTTGTTGAAGTATGAAGGAGAAATGATGGATAAACCAAAAAACGTGATGACAAGAAAATGGTTGCCTCAACGAGATATACTGAGTATGATGTCACAAATTGAAAATAATATCTTAAAATTAAACAGCAATATTCCATATTATATATTATGTTGTAATTATATAGAGCATCCAAATGTAAAGTTATTCATCGGTCAYGGAGGTATCTCAGGAGTCTACGAGGCTGTAGACGCTGGTGTTCCGATCCTTGGATTCCCTTTGTTCTACGATCAACCAAGAAACATGGCAAATTTGGTTGATGCGGGTATGGCGTTGTCAATGGACTTGTTTTCAGTGACCAAAGATACACTTTTAAATTCAATCAATGAAATTGTCAACAATGAAACGTAAGTTGGCGGACATAAGAAAAATGAATTAATCAATTTGAATTGTAAATTTTTTYGATAATACATAAATTATTTTTAGGTACTCAAAAAATGCTAAGATTACATCGGAACTGTTTAAAGATCGACCAATGTCGCCGRCCGAATCGGTTGTTTACTGGACGGAATACGTTATTCGTCACAAAGGTGCATCGCATCTGAGATCTCACGCATTTTATTTGACATGGTATCAATATTTTTTGCTGGATGTTATAGCAGTTGTATTGTTGGTTATTATATCAGTTTGTTTCATTGCGTTTAAAACATTGCAGTTGATAAAAAAAATTATTTTTAAATCATTATCGAAATCGAAATCAAAACCGAATTAATTTTAAGGATTTTGTATTTATCTGTGTTTTAAAATGTGATATATTATATCAATAAGTTCCGATACATAAAATTTTCAAAAAATTGCCCTCTTTAAATTTCATGTTTTTAAATAGTTACACTACTTATAGAATCACATGGCCTTTTAATTTGCCTAATCATAAATAGTATGATATATATACATATATACAACATGATTATTGTTCGTTTGGTTATAAATGGATACCTAATGTGATATGAATGTGTAATGTAGTGTAATTGAAGATTATTAGAATATAATATTAGTTTATTAATAGATAAATAAAATATAAAAATAATTTTTAAATTGAATTTCTTTAAAAAAAAATCACTTAACATATTATGTAACTTAGTAGGATATTGAAACTTATAAGGTGTACATAATTATAATTTATAACTAAAGTTTATAATAATTTTATTATTAAGGTTTATACTTATAAAGTTATTACCTTATTGTATGTATGCATTGTTTAACGCTATCTACAGACAGTTAGTAAACAATTAAAGTTGACATATTATCTTAAATACGCAAGATAGCGCTGTAGATACATATTAAATTTAATATATTGGTATCTGTAGAGCAGGACACCTTAGTCGCGTCTGGTTAAAAAGGTATACGTGAATTGCGTCCCAATATATTGGTTAGATAGTATAGAATTTTTATTTCGTTTTCACTGTTTTCAGGGGTTCTCGGATACATATTAATTATAAGGGAGCCTG